GGGTCTACAGCGTCTTTAGGGTCTCACTACTTAGATCAGACTAGTAGTGATCCTCCTGTTTTCAGCCTTCCCAGTCCAGGGATTATAAGCATGTGCCACCACACTCAGTCTCAATCACCATCTCAGAGTGCCCTGGGGGAGGGGAGGCTGACACGGCATGCCTCAAACCTCGGCAGCTGTGCTCTGCCTAAGCAGGCGCTTTAGTCCACTGAGCTATCTGGCCAGCCCGTCTTCATTCTTTTTTTGCCATTTCTTTGGTAAGAAAACTGAGGTTCAGAGAAGTTAAGCAACTTCCTAAAGGTCAGTTGGTCATTAAGTTAAATTCATTTACTAATACATAACAGATTTACTGAGACCCTGTGTGTTCAGCCCTGGTGGTGTTAGAGAAATAGCAAAAAGATAAGGAGGGTGCTTTCTCCCTTCGATATTACAGTTTTTGTTTCATTTTATGTATTTGGGTCTCACTACACAGATCAGACTTGTAGTGATCCTCCTGTTTTCAGCCTACTCAGAGCTGGGATTATAGATGGGACTCACCACATCTGGACTTGGTCACTGGCTCAGAGCACCCCAGGGGGCGAAGCCAGTGCAGCATGTGGGATGTGGGATAGAACCCTGGTTCCTGAGCTTGCCAAAGCAGGCGCTTAGTCTGCTGAGCTATCTCACCAGCCAGGGCATTACAATTTAGTGACTAGCAAACAAGATAGTAGCTACTATGAAGTATGACATAGTAACGTGAGAGAGAATGCCTGGAACGGGAGGTGAGGAGCTTCACCTGATGAGATAAGAAGGGCAAGTCTTCCCAACTCTAGAGTCTAGTCATTTCACTATGCCACCTTGTCCTACAAAAATGCTACTAGCCCCAAAGGAAGACCCTGAAGCAAAGAAATCAATTTGTTTGGCCCTGGCAACCCAGTAATTTAAGAGAGGCCAAGAATGATGGCTGAAAGAAGATATGGCTGCATCTTCATTCCCCCATAAGACAGTTCCCAGCCAGGTGGGAGTGAAGTGAGCAGTGTAGGACAGGACTAATGAGGTAGAGGTGATTTTTGGAAACTGACTGGTCTTATTTCCCTCTGGTATAAATATGGCAAGTCGGAGCCACTGGCCCTTGACTCCAGGGTCAAGAGCCCCATCTTCTGGCCTATTGTGCAAATTACAAAAGGAAATAGGCCACAGAGGCAGGCTCTGAGGCCGCCTGAGGCTGTTGCTATCTGGGGCACTGCAGAAGACAGGCCCTTGCCTCCAGGGGCTGATTTACTCTCTCCTTCCTGAAGGAGGACAGCTTGCATGACTCCAGGCACTAGGCTCCATGTGAGTAATACATACAAGCAGCTCCTACTGCTTCTTACCCTGGTTGGAAAAGTACAAGTGTGCGCCTAGTTAGCAAATAGGCCCAGTGAAGAGCTGGAAGGAGAATATTCAGCCACAGATAACACCTCACACTCAGCATTTTTCTTAAAGAGGCAGGAGAAAAAAGCATTACACAATTGGCTTAATGAAAAGAATAGGTTCTGAGATACATATTGTTAGGTAATTTTATCACTTTGATGCAAACTTCAAAGATTATATACAAACTAAAATAGCTACAACCTTATAAGGTAATATGATCTTACAGGACCACTGTCTATATACAGTCCATCCTTGATCAAAATATCTTTATTCAGCCCATGACTGTATTGACTGAAAGACAATGAAATTCTCTTTTTTATTTTTTTTCAGAAAATTAAATATTTTATTTATTTATTTATTTTT